TTCGATTAAATGGCGATTTTATAAATGTCATTTAATGACAGCCTTTATAAATGTCAGTTAATGACACTTAGGTACGTTGATCCCCCCATCGCTCATTAAATGACTGTGTCGGGTTTGTAAAATGTCAAAGGAGAAATTCCTGTTCTTGGTCAGGGATTTCCTTGGTTCGGTAATGAGCAAAAGCAGCCGAGACAAACCTAACAGAAGAAGACCCGAATACCCTATAAAACTGTAGCGACCAATACACTGCAGAAGAGGGTAAAAGGTGAAGTCGTCGACTTTCAATTTGTGTTTCCTTGTTGGTAATCAAAAAATGAAAAGTTTGTGTTAAACTTGTGTTTAACTATTCCTAAAAAAACTAAACAGTAACTTACTTCACCATTAATCCCAGTTTTTCGTGTTGTATATAATCCCGACAGTAGCTAATTTTTATAAATTAGCGCTAATTAGCGTTTAATTTAGCGTATAAAAACTAGCAAACTTACAAGTGAAGCTCCCTATAAAAGTTCAAACATTATAATAAGAATAGAATGTATACTCCCCTGTTTATACGAATACCGTGTTACAAACAAAAAGAATAGTAAACTTGTTACTGTGTTATAAGAGTACTTATAATTTGTGTTGTGGAGACTTGTAATGTTATATAAGCAGAGTTAAGTTGGACCCTTGGAGAGTATGTTATGTCTTCACACACACACCACACACACACACACACACACACACAACACACACACACACCACACACACCACACACACACACACACACCAACACACGAGCCATCTAGTATTTAGCTCGGGCCATGAAGCCTCACCTGCTGGTTTCCCGATCGGGCAATCTATTATGCCAGTATCATGCAGCTCGCGGATCCAGTAATGAGTGACCCGACAGTAAAACTAAACATATCTATAACTAGTTTAGATAGTTTGATAGGTAATTAAAATAGCTACGAGTGATATTCTAACCTGAAGTGTGTGTTTTGTCCGCTCACCGCTGCATGTGATCATGCAGAGCTGCGTGTCGACTCGTCAGCAGCAGCTGATCTCTCTCTCCCGTCAGATTAGACTTCACTCGCGTTTATGTCCATATCGATCAGATCCAGCTAGTTCTTGCTAATGATATGACTACCTGCTTATTAAAAGACACCTAAACAATAAGTGTCGCTATGCAACCGGGTGAGGCCACAAAGTATAGCGCAGCATTATGCATTTGTTTACATGCCCACCGGAACCCCGAGGCATTACCAACAGATCAACGCACAATCAACCCAGACAGGACATCTCTTTCTCCACATTACGTGTTAGACATTAGAATTGACTATTTTTGTCTGTCACATACTCTTCTTGTCTGTCACATACTCTTCTTGTCTGTCACATAAGTGGCGCAACTGAAGCGGTATTGCGCTAAAGGGAAAATATTTTGACCGAAGAGATTTAGATTTGCCGGCTAACGGGAACTCCGACGTCACCATGTTGTGTGCTTCGCGGATGCGCTCGGCTCCTCTCGACTGCTGCTCGGGTCTGCTCGGTCAGCTTCCGGATGAGGAAGCATTCATTCGACCAACTTACAGTAGATAACATTACAAACATTTTTAACAGGGGCCATAATAGTGTAAATAATGTTTGTTTTGGCAGTTACAACTGAATGTAATGTTTTCTACTTTTTTACATCTGGGAAGGCATTTGCCTTCATCAGATGGAAAGTGTCTTGACCAACAACTTAAGTATTTCTTATAGCTATGCAGGGCATGCAAGCGAGTAAACAAGAGCAAACAAAAATGAAATAATAAAAAATTGTACAATATAATTTTGTGGTGGTTCATCTTATAATTCAGTCTAGAGAATGCACCAGACAGCATCTACAGTAAGACCTGCAAAAATCTAAATTTTCTAGGGGGAGGCCCCCCAAACCCTTCGTGCCATTTCGCCCGCGCACATTTTTCAGGGCAATCTCTATTGGGTTCAGGGCCATCTGTAAATTAGCTTAGATGGCCCACAGGGCCATCTCCCAAAATCCTTAATGTCATGCACTGTAATGTTTATTTCCATGTGCTCCTTCTGTAGCCCCGCTACTACCCCACAGAAGATGTTCCCCGTAAACTGAGGAGCCACGGGAAGAAACCCTTCAGCCAGCACAAGAGGAAGCTGCGCAGCTCCATCACCCCAGGAACTGTCCTCATCCTGCTCACTGGCCGCCACCGTGGAAAGGTGAGAATCATTTCTCGCGGGTCTTCCCTTTCAATTTATTTTAATGTTCAGGGATTATCAGTAATGAGGACATTAACAACACAGGCCAAAAGTGCTAAGATTCTTCTAGTGTGTTAGGAAGCATACATATATTCTTTGTACGATCAAAGCCATGAAATATTATACATAAAGTAATGTTGAGATTACAGTCTGGTGTCGGGATTATTTTTTCTCTCTGCTTCAGGGCTAAAAGAGGGTAATTGGCCTGCATAAAAATGAACTGAATGGGTGAATTCTTTTTGAAATGACTGCTAGCCTAGCGTCATGTTTAATCATTTTCATGTTAAGTAATTGAACCTCGAAATCTTCTAAACCCAACGCTGCTCAACTCCTGGTTACAGCCTCAATAATGGAATTGGAGTGTAATGTTAAATTACTGAATTTGGAAATGCCATCTCTTTTCTATTTGTATGCCTCCTATTGCACAATATTTCACTGTACATCATTTTTATCAAGGCATTGGTGTGTTTTACTAATTGCATCAGAGGTGGACTTGTGCTTGTTGTTGTACTGTCACAAATGTAACTGTCTAGCAGTGGCAACATAATGGATGCTCGGTTCTCCCCAACGTACATTCTTATAAAGACGCATGTACAACCCACGTATCTATAGATATTGCCCCTCCAGAAAACAGCCCCATGTTATCGTGAATAAAAAATGAGTTTTCTGACAAGTGTGCATGATGCATCACTATAATCACATAACCTCAGGTCCACAGACATTGTCTTTAACTCCCACACTCAAATGATGCATGGGCAAGTTATGGAGGCATGCTAGTGTGCCCACACACACTTTGAGCAGTAGCTGACCTAAATAATGTTTCAGAAGTGAATATGACAGTCTTCCTGTTATAATTAGGAGTGTCAGATTTATTTTTCTCCATTCTCAAAACCATGGAATGGATGCAGCCATTTAACATGTCTTAACCAAATGGCACAAATGACTGTTTTCTTATAAGCTCACTAATTGAGCTGAATGGTGTTTAACTCCAGTACAAAAGGTTGATCCTAAAGAGACTTGATTTTTGTCTTTCAGCGTGTGGTGTTCCTGAAGCAGCTCTCAAGTGGTCTCCTGCTTGTCACTGGTAAGGATAAATGTTTTTGGTGCACTTGCTGTTACCTTCACATTTAAGCTCAGTGACATTAGAACAGCAATTATTTGGACATCTTTCTACTTTTCTTAACGTTGCTATTTTCCTTTTTGCGTGTGTAGGCCCTCTTGCGCTAAACAGAGTACCCCTGCGCAGGGCTCACCAGAAGTTCTCCATTGCCACCAACACCAAAGTTGACATCACTGGCATGAAGATCCCCAAAACTCTGAACGATGCCTACTTCAAGAAGAAGAAGCTGAGGAAGCCCCGCCACCAGGAGGGAGAGATCTTCGATACAGAGAAAGAGGTGAACTAACTGGGCTATTGTCTTTTAATGCCTTACTTTGAACATTTCAACAGGACTTTGCCTTCCACATTTTTACATCACTTACGGATTTCTTCTCCATGTCTCTGCAGAAGTACCAGCTGACCGAGCAGAGGAAAGAGGACCAGAAAGCGGTGGACGCTCAGCTCCTGCCCCTCATCAAGAAAGTACCTCAGCTCAAAGGATACCTTCGCTCTTCCTTCAGCCTGTCTAATGGAGTCTTTCCACACAAGCTGGTTTTCTAAATGTGTTGTAATAAACAGTACCACCATCTAATCATCTTTCCTGCCTCATTTGTGCTGAAGCTGAGTATGTAAAGTCAATGATGGAAGTTGTACTAAAAAGCCTGTGCTACAAATCCTGCATTTTTAAAGTAGATGATGGTTTTAAAACGAAGCACTCACCTCTAGTTGCATATGGATTATTTTTGATAATAGTAATTGACAGTAATTAAAATTAGTTTTAATGTTGTGCATTACAGCTAATGGTTAATTGCATAACTATGCCTGTATTTCATGAAGTGGGTATGAAAACCGATCTGCAAAACTAGTAATTTGATTAATCAACAGGTGGGAAGTAGTGTAGTACAAATACTTCATTACTTAAGTACATTTTTCTGGTATCAGTACTCCACTACTTATTTTTCGACGACTTTTTACACATACCTGTACTTTCTACTTACTTTTTCAATACTAGTTTGTTTAATTTGTTAGATGGTGTGATTAGTAATTGAGGGTCTATTTTTAACACTTGAATTCATAATTTCCTGGTTTTCAAAGGGACCAATGAAAACGTAATTGTCGTTGTTCAGCATCAAAACATTCATTAACAGACTTGTTTTAAAGTGAGGTCAGCTGCTATTTAAATCAGTTAGACTATCACAGTATTTTAAAACACTAGTATCTGAACTTCTTGAGTAAAGGATGTGAGTACTTTGCCATCTCTGGAATGTTCCCCTTTTTAAAATGGAGTGGGACATGGCATACAAATGAATTGAAATATATTTTTAAATACTTTAGTACAGTCAATTTAAAGAGTTTGAACATTCAAATGCGTTATATTTCACCAGGTTTATTCTGTTTTGTTCCCTTGCAATCAACCATAAATGAGCATCAGATATAGCCAAAGGTAATTGTTCTACTACAAAAGCTCTAAGAAGCTGGCATGACGAGTGACTTGTCTTTCAAATTATGGCGGAAAAATGTGAATTGCATATTTAGTCACTCCACTGTTCACTGCAAATATAGGATTTTATCCCACTTGTAATTTTATGCCTTTTGCTAATATTACCAATCTCCTGGTTCAGTTAGTGTATAATGAAGTGACCACACCAGACATTGGACCCAGACAGCTTAACAGCTACACTTTAATTAAAAAAATGACATGTCTAATGTAACAAGACAAAAATAAATACAAGTGTTTCATCTCTTTAACATGGCCACGTTTTTTTTTTATCCTCAAAAACAGAACAAAGTAGAAAGCAGCACAGAAAAAGGCAGCGGCCCCTTGCCAAGGAATGATAAGTGCCTTTGTCGAATCAGTCAGTACTGTATGTAGTATGGTCAGCTGATTTAGAGAAAATGCATTCTCTCAGCCCGACTTGAACAGCAGGATGGCGACTTGACCCAAGTAGAAGTAAATGAAATGCTTGGTCTCATGGGTCACGTAGCTGCCAAAGTTCCTCCCAACGATGCAGTGCCAGGTGGGGTTGTATTTCTTGTCAAACTCCTGTGAGGGGCGAAGAAATGTATTCATCAAACATTTGTGGTCCAACATGTTTGGAGGTCAAAACAAAATACATTATTAAATGCTTATATGGTGAAGTAATGTTTCTTATTTGTAGTTTCATATGCTATATCACAACAAACAAGTAATACATGTTTACGTATCAACAACTTTTTTGTAACTGGATATGGTTGATTTATTGTGAACAATGGGCCACGATCAAGACGCACACATTTCTTACTTAGAAATGTTAAACTTAAGTTGAATTTATAACTAATTTGTTTGATAAGCATCTTTTTTTTCCCTTTCAATGATCTTCTGGGTAAAAATGCATTTTATATTGCAAATTCCCAACATATAGAAGCTCAAAAGGTAATATTCCAGCGGTTTTGTATGACAATAAAAAGGTGTGGTCCTCCCTACTTTGATCAGGAATGTCACTATGGAGATACAAAATGTGGGCATGTTGGCTTCTGGAGAACAGACCATCCAAGAGGAACTTGTTTCCTCAGGAAGAGTGGAAACAATTACAAATACCAGGCTAGGGTGAAACGTGAATGATGCCCGGATGGGTTTTCCAGTGAGCGCAAATAGCTTAACGTCGCCACATTCCAGTTTCTTTTCGTTTGTGCATTTGAAATACTGTCTACTGCAAATATGCATCTCTTTATTAATGTAAATCAAATGTAGCCCTATAATTTAAAAAGCATATTTGTAATGCGTTAGATTCTCGTTTTGCTTAACAGACCTAAAATCCAAGATTTTAAATTGCCAACGACTGGTTTTGTTTTTTGAATTAAGTCCATTTCTTTGAAATACTACATGTTGCTCAAAAGTCAGCAGGTTAAAGATTAACTTTGTTTGAATCTACTTTAAGACTTTTAATGAATGGAAGATGCGTCAGCAGTAGTATTTACCTTCTTGATGTATGCAGCAATATCTTTCTCGATGTTGTACTTCTCCAGGGCTTGAGTGGCACACTCCACGGCGTCCTGCTGCATGTCCTCCGACATGTCGGCATTTTTGATCACTGCCTTTCTGTCAGACATGGTTGCCCTGGGAAACCAAAATACAGCGGAGGATTTATCATCTTCACGGGCGCATTGGCGCACACACACAATGCAAAAGACCCTGAGCATCCCAACAGTCCTTGTCATTGATTGACTGAAACGATACGGTATGGTTAACGTACTTGGTTGTCATCACCCAGTTAAGCAAAGAAAATAGTTTACGTTTGTCGGTGACGAGTTATCGTTACATAATAATTGACACATAATGTGAACTAGCCGTTTCTACAAGTGTTGCATAACAACTTCCATCAAGCTCAAAGGATGCGCGCGCTGCGTAGTTTCTATGGATACGCAAGACATTTTAGATTATCGTCTCAATTTTGTCCAAGGTTTAATCCAGGATCCTATTAAACTAAATGAAAGACCATTTTCCACTAACGTTACCTAACATTATAAAGCAGCGAAAGGGCAAGCCTCATTTGCCCTAACGTGCAGGATACCAGAAAAAGGCACATTTCTTATAATAACATAACGTTTGTGATAAATATGACTTATCCGAAGTAAGGTGTCATGGGGGTTTGCTAACAGACATCGAGACATGCATATTCAACGACGACGAGCCTTTCATTTGCTAACGGTTGCTATAACTAGCTACTCATTCATATTGCAAAAGGAAAAATAAACATCGTCTAACAGTCGGCACAGATTTAATCGTGTTGATAAAGATGAAAACTAAGTAAAGTACACATGCAGTCATTTAAAAATGTGAAATTGTTAAATGTACTTACTAGTCTCTCGTATAGTGTTGTCTAGTTTTAAAGAGATGACCGCTCCTGTTGTGACAACTCCCGCGAAGTGGTTGACAAAAAAGTAATGTGGGTGTGTAGCGGTAGAAGACTGCTGCCTTGCCATATCCTCATTGGCTGTTATTAATGCACAGGGCGCTGTCATTGGCTGGTACAGGCCAATGTCTCGGGTATTTCTGCTAGCATTTTATTTCAAACCATCATGCCTTGCGGCACGGTCGTTACCGCGGCAACCACTGTAAATAAATTGCTAATGCCAAAGATGCTAAATAACTTTCTTTTAAAACCAACACTCTGTTATTCTATGGTCCATGCCTCACTGATGGTAGGCACTAGGCAGGATATTTTAGTACTTAGTTTACAACCATGTTGTAAGTGAAGTTAAAGAAAATGTAGCCCTACTCAATGTGAAACATTTTTGTTGGAAGAAGCAACATATTTATTTCTAACTGGAAAGGTAAACTTATTGGTTCAATACATGACTTATGCTTGTATCCTTATGCCATAGCGCGGGTACAAGTTACATTTAGATAAAGGCATAAAACATTTACAAAATCACAAAATTACCTTTTTTCAGCTTTTATTAGTCATGGCGCTGGTCATAGCTACAGTGTAGTTGTGGCGATGAAAATCTTAGGCCACAGGCTCCACCAACAGTGCAACACAATACAGCAGTGTGTGCAAAAAAGATTAATAATGACCAATCCAGTATGTCATGGCAGAGTTTCATAAAAAAGGATAAAACATTGAATACATATTTATAAATGATAGTATGCAACATAACAAGTTGCGGTTCAGTTTTTCTTTAAAAATAAAATCCTAGTAGTAGCCTACTGTAGGCTATGTCTTTTTCAAAAAGACTCAAAATCCAATCATTGTTTTAGTACACTGGACAAATATGAACTTTTTATTGTACCAACTATTTTTACAAGAATATTTTAAGGATAATTTAACATGTGTGTTAAAAAGTGTAATTTCTATTTCAATACATTCCATATCTATCCATATTAAGACCACTCCTTTTTATTTGGATTTGAGTTCACCTTCTATTTAATGCGAATGTAAAAATTAGTTTGTTTCCCCTTAATTTCTTTAAAAGCTTACATGTCATGTGACCAAGTGACTTCAACTCCATACCATTTATTAATTCACTGGAGAACACACACACACCTTTTAGTCCACCCTGGGTTAAATATTATTTTTAGCGATATTCAGCACTATTTTCTTTTGATTAGCCTTATTACTATACTGAATTCACGGGAGACACATCTGTTTATTGGACTTAGTTCATTTAGGCAAACCTTTATATTTCTTTCAACACCTTCTATGTCATGTGACCCGATGATCCCAAATAATATCAGACCAGATATTATGACTACACTTGACAAAAAGACACATACAGTTTTCCATGGTTTTATTTTGTTAAATATCTTTTTAGAAAAGGTTACAATCCTCCCCATAAAGAAAACTAAACAGAGTCCATATCCTAATATTTAAGTTTTGCAATACAGATTCAAGTCTGTATCACCAAGGTTCATGGTAGCAGTATTTCAGTTGAATAACTGTATTACTTTTATACTTTCTAAATGCCACCCATATAAGCACAATAATATCATATAAGTAAAAATGTTCACACAACCAAATGCAAGAGAAACAAATCTACCATAGTAACATTCACACATCAATCAACAACTGGAACACATCTCAACACATTGATGATCTTTTTGTTCCAACA